AAGACACTGGAGAAGGTGAAGGCATTCCCATCTACATCATTGCCAGCACGACAACCCAATCCAGTTACTCCCATTCTATCTTGGTTGAGACCACCATCAGCGCCTTCAAGACCAAGGGAAGCATGTAGAGTTGCTTGCGGAAGAATGTACTATGAAGAAGCTCAGGCCATCAAATGCTTCAAGCAAGAAAGCCAAGATCATTTTGGTGAAAGTTGCAAGTGAAGATCTTTATCATGTAGATGATGAGCTACCCCCAGCTGCAGAAGAAGTTGATGAAGAGGGCTGGGACGAAGAAGGAAGAAGAAGAAGATGAAGTGAATGGACCTGAATGCTTTTGGCACGATGGAGAGCGTGAACCAGAAGGAGATCCAGAAGAATGGACAGACAACACGCAATGTGTATGGTTGGAGACAGAAACCATACCACCATGAAGATGGAACAACAGCCAAGAGGTGGAAGAGAAGATCAAGACTAGTTGCAAGAGAATTTGCTTTTGCTGAAGGAAAGAGAGATGACATTTTCTCACCAGCGCCTTCAGGACATGTGCTGAAGCTTATACCCACAATACTCTTGCAGAGAGTTAGTGAGGAGGAAGAAGCAAGAGAGGGAGAAGGAGCATTTCCCAGATGCTAGGATGTCTTGGTGTGAAAGATGCCTTTTTGCAAGTTCCACAAGAGAAGCCATTGAAAGTGAACTTGAGAGGAGAAGAATTCTTCGCGAAAAGGAATTTCCCTGGATCTACAATTGAAGCAAAAGCATGTGTTGACTTTTGCACAGAGTACCTCACCGAGGAACTCAATTACAAGTTCAGTGCTGAGTGTCCATGCCTAGGAAGAAATGAGACGATAATTGTTTTGATCCATGTGGATGGCTTGATTTTCACCGGTTGCTCAAAGTTCATCACCAATCTTTCTTCCAAAAAGGTTCAAGGCAGGTTTGACACCAGTGTGAGCAAAAAATGAGAAGATTGGTGATGAGTTCAACTCCCTGAGGAGAAAGTACAAACTAGAGAAAGATGGACGACTTTGGATCCAGCCAGGCAACTACATCCAGTAGATGCTGAAAGCTTATGAGGGGCAGATTGGAAAGATCAAACTCCAGCATCTACCATCAGACAACTAAATTCAAATGGAAGGCAAATCAAAAGTCTTGCGTGAGCAAGAACCGATTAGCCTATTCAGGAGCATCGTTGGGTCAGGTATCTACATATGCCAAGAGAGGCATGATGTAGCATTTACAGTGCTAGAATTGGCTTCAAGAATGTCAAGCCCAACAGCTATGTCATTTCACCGCTTGAAGAAGTTCCTAGGATACTTGAAGAAGTTGAACTTCCACAAGCAGGAGAAGGCTACGCCAAGAAAGGAGAAAGCTATTGGTGCTTGGAAACATTCTCAGATTCAGATTGGAGTGGAAACAAGAGCAAAAAAGAAAGCCAATGTGAGGAGAGTTCCATGCTTTGAACAGTTGTCCATTGTTCAACAGCAGCAGGACACAGAAGATCATTATCTTCATGTGAAGCAGAGTTGCGCGCAATAGTTTCAGATGGAATATTCATTCGCTCAGTTCTCGAGCTTCCGCTTGGGACAGGTGGAGCATCAGATCTTCACAGCTTCGCCAAGTGCGCGCCAACTTGTGTTGAAGAGAGGAGCTGGAAAAGTGAGACATTTACATGGGAAGTTGCGGCTATGGATTCAGAACAGGGAAGGTTTCAATATTGTGCAAGTGCCAACAGGTTTCAACATGGCAGACACCAATAGCAAACCACTTGGAGGAAAAGAATCAGATACTTGATGAACCTCATTGGGTATTGGCAGCGTGAAGAGCAAACAAGAGTGGGTGAGCGTGGGAGAAAGGTGTTTGAAGAGAAAAAGAACTTTGCAGGAAAGGTCAACAAGATGCCAAGACGATTCTCACAATGGTAGTATTTGCAGCTTGCAGCCAATGGTTACAGAAACACTCATGAAAGAGAAGGAAAACAACCAGTGTGGATTGGAAGAAGTAGAACCCAATGGAAACTGGAAAGTTATGACCATTGTGATTGTTGTGATCAATATCATTGGTTTTGCAGCAATGACCTTTGCAATGTTTTGAAGACCGCTGTATGCGTTTGATGAACACTCTTGGTGACAGAGTGGATGGAGCAGAGCTCAGAATAGTGGAGGTTGAATGGATGTTTGACCAGGCAGCGGTTGATAATGTAAGGATAGACGAGCTGCGTGACTACACCAGGAAAATTCATAGTGGGTTGATTCTCAATGGAGGCTTTGTAGAAGAAGAAGTACCAGGCACTCTTGAGATATTCAGTTATGACATGATTGGAAAGATCAACGCAGCAAACTTAGCCAGAAGGAGCTTGGAAGACGTTGGAACAATGGAAGGACGATATCGTGGTCAAAAAGTGATGTTGAAAGCAGCTTTAGAGGGAGCAGTTGACCATTGACAAGAAGATTCATACCAGGAAATAGGGAACAGGAAAACAGAGCAGAATATGAAAAAGGACAGGCAATCCAGATGTGTGGTCGACTTGAGGAGAAGATTGAACAGTTAAGAGAAAGGCAATATGAGCATCTAGGAAGAGGAGAAGAGAATAGAGCAGATACAATTGCCTACGCGAAAGACGGGTATCAAAGATTGCTAGAATGCGCAGTGATGAGGAGAGACAATCCAGAAAGGATACCACCAAACACCTCTAGAAACCCCGTTCTTGAGAGGATGCAAAGACCAACAGATTACATTTGGGTAGAGACGTTTATGGTGGCAGAGTGAGCTAACTAAAATAGCAATTCGAGCGCTCACACGACCAAGAAGGAGTGTGAACAAGTCGCAATGCAGACCATACCCGGTGTGTATAGCACAGCTTGTATTGATGACCACTGCGCAGCCCTTTTGGATTCAGGAAAGGTTCGCAAATATACTTCTTTTTTTAGTCCCGAGACCTGCGGCGAAAGGGGGCTTCAGGGTGGACTTCAGATGATGGGGGGCTATTGGGATCAGGGGCTTGGGCTGAAGGCAGACAGGAAGACTACGTCCATATACTTGCGTGATCGATGCCCTCGGCAGGTGGCAGGCGTTTTCAGTTTTGAACTTTAGATTAAGGCGATCAGCAAACATCTTCCACCCGAAGCCCTCACCACTTCGATGGGTTCCAGAACCCGACTGACCAGGAGTCAGGCAATGCCCGCTTCTAAGAACAAACTTCAATTGGAGAACAAAACATTGCCCTCTTTCAAGCCTCCTTTCCTAAAGATCTGCGGGTCGCCGCCGAAGCGGAGCAGCCTATACCGTGTGCACGCTACCCGGCATGGCAGCAACAGGAACAGCATGCCCCACGAGCGCAGCAAAGCCGAAACGGCGGCCATGGCCCGGTGGGACGCGGCAAATCGGCAATCCTAAGTGGGAGGAAGGAACCGTGGACCAAAGCCCTGGGCAAGAAATTGGCAGAAGTAGATCAAAACCATAAAGGCTGGACAAGCTGCCAAACTCGTTGCATTGGAAAGTTTCATGATGAACCTTATCACTTAGAGGGAGCAAAAATCGTAACAAGGTTTCCGTATATGTGACCTGCGGAAGGCTTCTTTGACTCATTCGTATTATACGTGAACCACTACTGTGAGGAGCGTTAAGGGCGCGCTGCACGACAGACGGAGGCGCGGCGCATCCACGGGAGTCTCGAGTCGACGAATGCTTTCAAAAAGAGCAAACAGGAAAGGCAAAACGCCAGACCCGTGCGAACAGCGCATGGTTGCCACGTGGCCCATGCGCAGGCAACGAGGCCTCTCATCTCTGTGCATGGCCGGGTCACTCGATGCCTTGAGAGGGTGTTCAAAAGAGACATTGAGCGCCCGCTCAAGGATCCCTTTGCCGAAGATCCCAACCAACAATTGACACACGTTCACGTTAACAAACGATATGTGTCAATGTTTGAGGGCGGCTCATACCTATATAATCTGTGCATGTGTACTGTAGTTTTTTATGTCGCACCTGAACTCCTACACTGATTCATAAGCAGCAGATCAAGGACTCTGAACCTTCCAGCTCTGCTAGTTACAGCTCCGAACGGTTTGTTGTGATTTGCGGCTGACAACAACGCTAACGTAGCGGCCCCACTCCATTTTTCTCATTTGGGGCAAGGCGGAACATTGTTAAGTGTATGTGTTCATCATACATGTACAAACATATTGTGATTTGCGGTGGCTCCTGCAGAGGTACGGAAAAAGAGCTCTTACGTAACCCCTTCGTTCCATTACGTTCGGATCATCGCGGAACGATCCATAGCCGAACTTTGACCCATAGCCAAATATAGGAATTATCGTGATTTTATTTGTTTCTATTTTAAAACATATGTCTCGGTAACGAACCTGAATCACAGTGGTGGCATCTATGGAAGGCACGATGCTTTGGGAACACTGCAGGCTGTGTGTGTACAGCCTGCACGAGTTCCTTCCAACTAGAACAGGAAAAACTAGGAGAATGTTTTTCATGATGTGCAGCTTCTGAACACACTAAACCCATCTCGCAAACCACATTTTTTCCCGCACATGTGGGCACCATCTGTTCCATGCACAGGTCGACAAACCGGTAGTAGTAGTAGTAGTAGTTGTTGTTGTTGTTGTAGTAGTTGTAGTAGTTGTTGTTGTTTTGCTCTGTTGTGTCACGTCCATCAATCTTGAACTTTTCGAGGTTGGCCAGATCAGCTTTTGGGTGGCTTGCCCAACGTGTAGCTCGGTTCAGAAATATTGTCCGCTGACACCCAGGCAGGGAGGTCGAGAGAGTAGAACTGTGGAGAATTTTTTGCAAAACACAGAACACAAAGCAAACAAGAGGCCATCGCTAATAGGTTGGAGGCTGGGTGGAGGCCATTGCTATTAGGTTTTACACCTTCACCCCTTCACCACCCAAAGGCGTCCATAAACCGCCCGTTAGCCATAGGGTCTAATAAAACGTCCCTTAAGAATCATAGGCATTGGACCTCCTTTGTGGACAAGATCGTTTGTGGCCCCATGTTTGGTGGAGGACGCTGTTTGGTGAGGTACCTCTATGCGGCCAACAATCCTAGTGAGTCGATCCTGGCCAAAAGGCTGGACCCCGGCGACCCTGAGGACAGGTGAGGAACAGAAATGCCCATATAGGACATGAAAACGGAAGACGGAAGACGTTTTAAGGCTGGCCATTCCTGAAGATGAGGCAGTTCTGTGGACAGTGTTGTACAAGGAAGAACCAAAACCATGTTTCCATATTTGTCCATGGTCAAAACCTGGTGAGTCCAACATGCAGCGAACGACCTCCCAAGTAGGTCTGCCAAGGTATCCTGGTTTTGACCCACAGCCCACAGCCATATGAATTTCCTTTTGGACTGTTTTTGACCAATGGTTTTCCTTTTCCCAGTTTAATGTGTTTTAAGGGCCAGGACAATGCCTTGCCTTGCAAGGTTGACGGCCTCCGTAAACAGGGGTATTCCCCGGTGGGAAGAAAATAGAAGACCAACACAATCCAACGATCAGCTGGGAATACCAACGCATTGATTGAGAGGGTACTGAGTGCCTTTTCATTTTAATTCAAGGGACCTACTGTTTGTAAAAACAAGTTTGTCCTGTGTCACCCAGGGCCATCTAAATCTATGGTCTCTGTGCTCCAAGTTGTTTTGTTCCTTGGCATGTGTTTTTTGGGGTTCGTGTTTCTTCTATCGCCCACACATCACCTTGGTCCTGCTGTGTTTGGAGGCGTGGCTATGGCTGCTTGGTCTCCTACAACGTTCCACCCTACGCCCGAGCGGGGCTCTACAAGGCGCAGCATCCATCGCCAAACGACGCAACGGCAGCTGTGTCTCGTGCTGGTGGTGTAGGGGCATGGCTGCGTTGTTGAGGGGACAGGTCAGTCCCATTGCGTGGTCAGTAAGAATGAACATGACGATTCTTAGTGGCCAGGTCTCTACAGATCATCACCAGAAAAGGAATGTGATTCAAGCCATGGCGCCTCCCCCCAAAAACGATGATGATGGGGTGTGTTCCTTCAATAAGGACTACCACAACAAAGACGAACCCAAAATCTGCAAAAAACAAATATGCAATTTTCTTTTCGAGCTTTTTGCAGGTCAGAACACCCACACCCTTTTTTTCGAGGTCGGGGTGACTGAGTCTTGCAACACAGCTAGGTCTATATAGGATTTGCATTAGCATGCTTCGCCAGGGTTCCCGAAACACGAAACAGAAACACCTGAATCATTCTGGTTAGAGGGAGGGGCAAGTTCAGCGTTTGTGAAGTTCAGCGTTCGTTACTTCTCCAGAGAAGACCTTCTGCAAGTTGTTTCAAAGGCTAGCCTTGACCACCTGATCCTGACTGAACTCCAATGGGTGTCCTTGAAGTCTGATGAAATGATTTAATTCAAAAGAGCGGCCAACACAAGAAGGAGTAGGCGACCCTTGTAACCCCTCACTATTACATGAGTGGAGTAGTGGACTGGACTTGTTTTTTTTGTTGTTTTGTGTGTGTGTCTTACAGGCGACTTAGTCTTGATGTGTTTTTCAATAAACTTCAGACACGTAGATGCCCAACTTGGCAGTATGACCGGACCCTTGGCATGACAAGGAGCTCTACGTGTGCCCTCATCTCTCTCCAGGAGCTCCAAAGCGTAAGGGGTTTGCTGTCCGAGCCCAGCCCTCAGCTCCGTTCGCAGCAAGCGCGCGAGATCCTCAGGCTCCAGGTGAAGAGAGGTGGAAATTGTTTGTTTCTTTTTGTGAGAGTGGGACGTTGAGAGTGCGTGTTTTGCAGTGAAACATGTGAGTTTTTTCAAACGTAGGAGAAGAACTGAGGCTTCCAGGGCGTCCCCTTCTGTTTTTGGTTGTGATACTGCAGGATCAATACTCTTCACCTTTCACCTCTCCTCCAAAACAAACCGTTTAAGCAAAAGAACACCTTCCTAGGTCTTAAAGTTCAATAAATGGCCCTAAAGGTTGAACATCTCCGATTTGGTCCTGGCAATAAAAGCCCTGTAGGACTGGATTTGGCCACTCGAGCCTCCGATCGAAAACGTACGTCGCCTCCCGTCCGCTGAGGCTGTTGGAGCGACGGGAGGATGTGGAGGGCGAGGTCACATCCATCCATGTGGATGCGGACACTTCTAAAAGTTGCACAATTCAGCATGTGTTTTTACTCGAACTTTGATCATCCGGAGCTATAGTAAGTGCAGAACACAACAGCCATGCCACAATAGATCATACCACGACTTCACACCATTTCTGCAACAACACGTGGTTCTATCATGGAGACTTATATTTCAAGTCGCAACTAGCAGCTAGTAGCTCCTCCCACCACGTCCCACGTCACGCCCTCTCACAGGGCCAACGCCTCCGAGCAGCGGCGCCAGCCGTGCCGGCAGCGGCACCCGCGGCATCCGCGGCAGGCGTTGAAGCGCCCAGTGAAAGAAGCGATGTTCAGGGACGCTCGTAACAAGAAGCTACTAGGGGCTCCTGGCATCGCTACTAGGAGCGAGGACGCTACTGGGGCTCCTGGCCGTACTACCAGGAGCATTCTTACTACTAGGAGCAAGGACGCTGAACGAAGATGGATGCACAGGGACACACCGGCCCACCTGCACTGCGAATCCTTTTTGGAACGCCCCCAGCGTGGGGACCTTGGCGGTGCACACGAAGGGGGGGCGGAAGCGGCGACAGGCGACGGCGAGCCTGTGGAGCCGACATTGGAAGCGGCAGTGATTCAGGACGATGGGAATGGGTTGAAGCTTTCGCTGTGAACATCCGATGGCGTACACAGCTGAGCAGAAAGATCAGGAAGTCAGGAAGATTCAGAACACACGGCCCACGGCAGAAAACCATAGAAAACCATTGTAAGGCGATGAATGCGGAAGGAGTGCCATAATTTGTTGTTCCTTAGTCCAGAACATAACGTTCCACTTGGAGATCGACTGAGCTAACCTCTTGAACTGCGCCCTGGCTGGGGAAGCCCACCCTTCAGTGCAGCTTTGCTGGTGGATTGGCACCTGAAAGGACCAGAGATTCAGAGACATGCCATGACTCCTTCCCAGATCAACTGAAGGTCCCACTGAGCATTTGTAAAAACCTTACAACATCTGGCTCATGTCAGGATGCCGCATCCACTGGCCTTAGCTGAAGCAAAGGTGACCCCAGGTTGAACCCCCAGGTTCTTTGCCATGTCAGAATGCCCGCCGCATGCTGCCAGACACCCCGAACTCAATCCGTGGGGTGAACGCATCCGCTGCAGGCCGTGGTGGCAGCGGGGCTTCAGAAGGATTTGCCCTTCCCCAGCGACGTTCAGCAGGCACGACGGGACGGAGGAGCTTTCAAGTGTTCCGTTCAAAAGAGGCATCAAACCCTTCAAGTAAATTTATCCAAAGGAATCGGATGGAATTGGTACTCGTTATATTTTGTTCGACACTTGACTTTGTCATCACTCATCCACAAATCATCCATGACTCTTCCTCCGCACGATTCCCCCCCTTGCTGGATCCAGGCTATCTCTGCCGCGGGCGACGATGTGGATGCGGCGGCCGCCGCCGGGGCGGCTGCCTTCGAGGTGGAGGGCTTCGAGGACTATGCCGGACGACTTCGCGACTTGGTGAAAGAGGTGACGCGTCGAAGTAAATGGTTGAAGATCTTTATCTTATCATTCATTATGGCTTATAATTAACTATAATTATAACTATATACAATAGGAGGTGACTAGTTTCGTCCATGCTAAATCCTGTAACAGCCTTCTAAACCTCGGCTTCAGTTTGTTTTCTCTTATAGCAAACATGTCTTTCTGGCCTGGCACCTCTTTTTTCCCTAGTGTGCGAGTGCCGCCAGCGGTCGGGCAGCCGGGCGCCAAGGGAGTTATTTGGCCGAATTGGAGGCCACGCTCTTCTCGGAAGGTCTGCATACCTTGGGTCAGAGCCCGACCACCGAGGAACTTCGAGGCCTGCTGGAGCGAGACCCCACCTGACACCCTGCAGAGATGGGGCTTTGGGGAGCGACCTGGTTTTGGCTCAGTCAGCTGGGCAGGTTCGAGCTGTCTAAGGGTGTGTTCCTCGATGCATGTCCTTAATCTATAAGGTGCTGTGAAGAGCTGGATGTTTGTTCCATCCATATTTGCACAACTCCCCCTGTCCCACCAGACCAATCTAAAATCATCAAAGGGTAGAACGCACGCCAGACAAGACACACCCAAATTATTACCTAGAACGAGCTCGCTTGTGTTTTTTTAAGGGTTCTGGCCCACGGGATGATTTTGAGATCATTTGAGTGAATCTGGCGCCTCTGCACCCTTCAAAGGACTAAAGCTGTGCCTTTGTCAGCTCGCAGGCTATTTGATGGGTTGCTTCGAAGAGTCGGCGCTGCCCGAGGCAGCCATCGAAGCTTGGCTTTGGTGGAGCAAAGGTTGTTTGTGTCGACACATTGCAGCAAGGAAGCTGCCCGATGATGCAGAAATCATCAGAAATCATCATCATGTGTATAAACCACTCTCTGACCCAGTTCATTGGGCCACTTGCCTTGCATCCGCATGAGAAGATCACACCATCAAAGACAAAGACCTGCGTTGCATGTTCCAAGTTCCAAGATCCATTTTTGATGACTCCCTTGATGCAATGACACCAAGCAATGTGTGGTCGGTTTGTTTATACAGTGAGTTGAGTTTTCACCAAATGAATCACACATTTCACATTCCACTAGAAAGATGATGCTTGTTGCATCTTATTACTCCCTGAACACCCACCATGAAAACACCATGAAATTGTTTCACCACAAACCATCAAGCTTGTCGCTCTGTCACCAAACACTCACATAATCACGATGACTCGTCACGATGACCACCGAACCTCTTAAATCCTGGATTATCCTTCAACTCAAACAAATAGCAATCCCAAATCCATTGCCTGTTGATTTGGGGGCTTTGTTTCTCCCAATTCAAGCCAACAACCCCTGCAGTGTCACATGCCTCATCCTCCTCACCCAGGACGCCCTCGCCCGTGGCCGCAGTGACGCGGAGGTCCTCGCGCAATGCGGTTCGGAGAGCGGCGAGCACCGTGGCTGGCAGATGTGTTCTTCCATTGGCCAAGCGGAGTGTTGGGTCTTTGGGGGGTGCGAGTTGGAGTTCAATAACCTCGGCACTGCAAACTGGACATAGGAAACATATGTTGTGTTTTCCCCGTGTCCGGTGTGCGGGTGATGTTCGAAACAATGTCGGATCTGGGAAATCCAAGCCTTGGTTGATGTTGTTAAGCATTCCATGTTCTTATTTTGTCCGGTTCGTTCCGGTGCCAAGTAATTTTTACCCCTACTGATTTGGGGATCAACCCCTTCACGTCCTTTTGGACATTGCATGAGTTGCCCTTAACTCCTGTTACATGCGCCGCGTTCAATCATATGTGTCGTGTAGATTTAGGGAGTGCCTTTCTACTCGTCCGAGTTCACGAGAAGAACCTGAGACTGTTGAAGAACTCAACAGACCTCCCAGGCCGCCGTGGACAGGTTTCCCCCAAAGACTCGGATTGACCATGAAATCCTTCCGTTCGTATCAAACAGGCTGGGGAATTCCACTTACAGCTACATTGATGATTTCAGGACGTGTAGCTCTTGTACAGAACAATTAGGGAGGACCGTTAGGACTCGACTGGTTTGAGATGACTTTTTCATTGCTTGCGATTGCTCATCTGATCTGGTTGTATCACTTGAAGTCCCACATAAGACATTGGTGGCAATAGTTGTTGCGGTACTAGGAATGGACAGACAAATTAGACAGATCTGTCGAAATTTTTGTTTTCGATCAGGTCTTCAGTCTTCGAAAGATATGTTGCTTTGAGGCCGCGGGAGCAGTTGAGGGCAGCGCGTGAGACGGTCAGCCTATTGGAGAGGAATGTGGAAGAGATCTCAGGCGATCTTGGCCCAGCACCCGATCGTCGGGGCAGATGTGGCTCATTGCGTCGATGTGGGTGTTGAAGCATGTTGAAGCCAGGTTGCGTTGTAAGGGGGTCCGGGGTGACTTTTGACAGGCCGAGTGTTGAGGATCGCCGCCCAACGTTTTTTCCTGCAAAGAAGAATCTCGATCCTTGCTGATCCGTGTTGTTTCTTGATGCATGTTTGGAGTGTGCCATGTTACTAAGAACTGGAAAACACGTGCGTACGCATAGGTTTGAGGGGTTGAGTGCTGCCTAGTGGTGTTTTTCTATTATTTTAAATGTAGGTACTAAGTTCCTAGGCTTGGAGAATGTAGTTGGAGGAGGTGTGCAGCAGTGGATTTGGTTCCATAGTCTTATTTTCAGCTACCAGGTTTCGCATGGGCTAAACCCCGGTGTTTGAAACAGCGTTAAGGACCAAAAGGTGCTTCCCAGAAACGGTGATGTGCCGCATGCTCCGCTATCCGTCAGTTGATGCCCATCGAATTCAGGACGTTTGTGGAAGCATCTAGTAACAAAGGGCATCGCTATATACTAGGAGCAAGGACGCTACTAGTAGCTCCTGGTGTTACTACTAGTAACAAGAAGCAGTAAGAAAGGGGATCGCTACTAGGATAAAAACCCACAATGTTTGATACCTCCCATGTTGACTGGGCGTCTCGTGTTTGACGGTAATGAAGGATTGGATACGCATGTTTTGGGGGGTTGTGTGTTTCACAAAAAGGGAATGTAGATACCTTGTCAATTTCCTAGAGTCATAGAGATTCAGATTCATCATCGAAATACGTTCAATTAGAATTATTTAAACACCTGTATGATAAACATATATGATAGATAACCCGTTCAACCCGTTTCAATGTGCTTGTTTTAGGTATGAAGTGTTTGGCACGCTGTGACAGAGCCCATCTCAAGTTCCGGATGGCCTTGTTGCAGGTATGTTGCGAGCACTGAACGGCGAATATGCCACTGGGACGATGGTCGTTTGGGGTGGTCAATGGTCGTTTTGATGATCAGAGGACTTGTTGCGCAACAAAAGGACTTGTTCGTTTCAGGGTGATCAGATGTTCTCATATCGCATTATATTGCCCTGCTTGACTGAGTTCTTCAAAAGATGAGTCAAGGAGTGTCTCGTCTAGTCCATGGGTGACTGCAGTCCATGTCGAATCCTGGCTCCGTCATCTCACCTGTGGATCGGGGTTCAAACTCGCCCGAGTTCGCTCGGTGCCATGGGAAGGGGTGCAATGAGGAGGGCGAGATTCTGTGTTTAGTCTTCATGTTTCAGAATGTATCCTGATTCACAGAATCTCCCTGGCCCCGCTCAGCAGACCCAAAGTACCAGCGCGGCTGTTGAACTCACGAACGCTGAAGAACGCACCGAAACCAACTCCAGAAGAGTTCCAGAAGCATACTCAGTCATCTCAGTCATTGTTTGTTATCCCAGAAGATTTCCACAAACATCACGTTTGCACCGGGAGTTGCCATCGGTGCCGAACTTGGATGGGGTTCCGGTGTCCGTGATCCACTCAGAGACTGAAGACCTTCTCCTTTAGCACTGCTGGCACAAAGGATGTGTCTAAGTCTTGTGTGCACCGACCTGGTTTTTGTTCAGCACTTCGAAGTGGGGCTTCAGCCCGTTCCCAATGAAGACGACAAAACAAGCATCAAACACGCCTTGTATCCTGGTATCCGTTGTTCAATTTCACGTTTCTCTGTTATGCTTGACACGCAGAAGATCCAATTCTTCACCTCCCATCGGCTCCCCCCAACTCCGATGCCACATGTCGGTGTCCACCCTCCCTCCCCGCCTGGCGCCGCGGGTGCTCCCGGTGTCTCTTTGCAGGTGCTCCCGGCGCCGGGCGGCGATCTGATCCGCGACGGGGCGGCGGTGCTGCCGACGGGGCGCAACATCCACGCCTTAGACCCCTATCGCATCCCCAGCGCGGCACGCCCAGGGGTTTGGGCGGTAGAGACCCGGCAGCCGTGAGGGTTTTTTGGCTGGGCGCGGGCGGTAGGCTTGGCACGGCTTTTTGGGAGGGAAACCTGAGAAGTTCTGTAAGAGAAGCCGTGAAAGGTACCCTCACCACCACCGCCACCACCACCACCACCACCTGGTGGTGGTGTTCTTTTTCGTTCTCGATTGAAGAGAGCTAATAATCAAGGAAGAAGAGAAAAGAAAAAAAGGAAGAAGAGACAAGAAAAAAGAGGGAATTGAGCGGGAAGGTGATGTGGAGATGGTGGGTGGTGGGAAGAATGGATTGGTGTGACAGTGAATTACGGGGATAAGACATATACAATATGGGAGATCCCAAATCAAATCAAGTGCATCGCAAATCAAGGAAAGGATTGCTAGATTCGAGTGATCCCAAGAAAAGCTGTAAAGTGGTTCGGCTTTGAGCACTAGAGACTTGCAAACCCATCAACTGCTCCAGTGCCGGACCGCTGGAGGCCAAACCGCTCTTCAGCGTGGCCTGGCAGCCGCTGAGAAGACCATCGAAGGGTGCGCAGCCGTTGAAGGTGATGGGCAACCTTGACCCCAAAAAATTGAATACGTACCGACCGTCTTTTTGGCATGCATCATTGGAGCCCAGACATATTCCACAACTGTAGACGTGTTTTTTGGGGAGAGGTATCAAAAAAAACATAAATAGGGATCAATAAAAAAATAAATAGGGATCAATAACAAAACAAATAGGTATCAATAAAAAAATAAGTAGAGATCAAGACAACAACAAGCAGGGATAAAAAGAAGCAATAGAGAAGAGAGAAAGGAAAGAAAGAAAGAAAGAAAGACAGAACAACAGAAAGAAAGAAAGAAAGACAGAAAGAAAGAACGACAGAAAGAAAGAAAGAAAGACAGAAAGAAAGAAAGACAGAAAGAAATAAAGAAAGAAAGAAAGAAAGAAAGAGAGAAGGAAGGAGGGAAAGAAAGAAAGAAAGAAAGACATAAAGAAAGAAAGAAAGAAACACAGAAAGAAAGAGCGAAAGACACAAAGAACGAAATAAATTGAAGTAGACATTGAAGTAGAGCAGTGCTTACATGAACTGCTTGCCTGTGAGCCACCTGCCATGGAGGAGGGAAGCGGCCATTCCAAGGTAAGCCTTCCGAGGGCAAAACTTGGAGGAGGAAGGCGTCAGTCCTTTTGTGAGCCGCCCAAGAACCAAACTTAGAGGAGGAAGGAGCCACGCCAAGGTAGCGCGCCTGTGGCTCACAGAGGAGGCAGGCGCCAGAGCGGGCAAGGGAGTTATTTTTTGAGCGCGCGAGTGAGGTGTGTGCATTGGCGTCGTCATAATTCAGTAGGCGGCGCGTGCTGCCGAGATCGCTTACTCAAGTCAGCCAGTGAGTTGCAAGCCAACCCCGACAAAGACCGCTGAAAGTTAGAGAAACAAATATCAAGAACGCCAGAAAGCCGACAATGCCGCTCGCGTGTGCGCGCAGAAAGCAACTCGCTTGTACGCGCGCACGTTGGAAGAGTAGGAAGCCTTCACCATAATGGCTGCGCCGGCGCACACTCCCACTTGCATCAAGATCATGTGTCTGCCACGCACGCAGGAGCAGATTGCGCATCTTCAAGGCGTCAGGTCTTCCAGGGCTTCTGGTTTTCCCAGGGTTACACCGGACATTATATCGGGTCGAAGAGGCTTGAAGACGTATTTTGCGCCCCGAAAGCTTCCTACATCCTTTGTTATCATAGAGACTTATGATGACCGTGCGTGGAAAAAGATCAGAATTCCTGCTCAGGTCGCTGAGCCATTCCCATGTAAATATACCTTTTGTGAGCTTCCCGAGAACGAGCGACAAATTCAGCGGAGGAAGCAGCAAGTCCAGTGTAGCATAGTATCTTCTGTGAGGAACCCGATGCTACTACTGCTCCCACAACACGGCTACGACTACCACGACTACTACTACTACTACTGCTGCTGCCGCTGCTGCTACTACTACTGCTACCACCTACTACCTACTACCTACTACCTCCTACCTGTTACCTACTACCTACTACCTACTACCTAGTACCTACTACTACTACTACTGCTACTACTACCACTACTACTACGACGACGACGACAACGACGACGACGGTCACTACTACTGTTGCCACTGCACACATTACTGTTCTTTCTTTGTTGATTCTTGTTTGTTTTGTTTTTGATCCTCGTCTGTCAATTGTTTTTGTTATTACGTCACCAGATTTTGTTTTTTTGTTGATCCTTATTAATTTTTCTTTTGATCTCATTGCTTTATTATTATTTTGATCCTTATTTATTTTTTTTGATCCTCCACCCTGTTTTTTGCAATTAAGGCATGCTGCAGGAAAAAGGCAATTTGCTCCATTTGGCAACGAATTACACAAGAAACATATCATAACCCTCCGGAAAAGGATGGTCACCTACTGGGTCACCTTGCACTTGTTCGGGGTCATTGTTGTGGACTCTCTATCTCTATATATATATGGTACCCCCCAAAAAAACACCCTTTCATCTCTATATAACTATAATCACTACTATAATTATACAAATAAACCCTGGAAGTCCAAAGACTATATTTTGACCGGCTGAAGTAAAGGAAGTTCCCTTTCAGGTCCCCTAAAGACCATTCTGTTTATAGTCTTTGACTCCCAGGGTAAATATACACACTTAGACTCACTGAAAGGTCTACGGTGTCTCTGCAGGTACCGCGCTGAGCATGGCGAATACCCGGAGCCCTGGACGTTTCGGGCGGGAGCATGGCGACCTCTGCGGTGAAAGGTGTTAGCTTCAGGGGTCTCAAGGGATGCCATGGTTGTTCGGGTTGTCAAGTGATACTCAATGTCAGAATTCAAGGGTGTTCAGGTGCAAATAAGGATCTGTAAGTGGAAAAGACTTTTTGAGAAACAGAATGCCTAGAGTGTGGCCAGTTTTTTGCAGAGCAGTGATCCTCTTTATGGATGTACTCAAAAAGTGGATATCTCGAAACGGCTGACATTTAGCATTGTTCACTGAATAAAGCTGTTGCAAACCGTTTTCAACGTTGGGAGGCAGAGCTGAATCTGAGCTGAAGTCCCACAGGGATGCTGAAAGAACTGGATGTCATTCAAAAAAATGTTCAAAACAATCGCCACAATTGGTTCGATGGGAGTGGTTAGTTTGTACTTTTCAAGAGCCCCATCAACAAAACGTATTTGTTTTGTCACAAACAAAGGTAAATAAAATAGTGCTCTAGGCTCCTGAACCAATCGTTCGCAAAATAACAAGTTATTCCCTAAAAGGGTGAATGAAGCAGAGACGTTACAACAAAAAAGTTCAATTGTCAACACAACTGTTCTTTTGCAGAGCTGGACGCCTAGCAGAACTCAAGGGTTCCGCAGTCAAGAAATTTGTTGCCCCTTCCAATTCGAGCTCCAGAGATGCCTGGAGCATGTTTTTTTTTCTAATGGTCACAGTGGTCACCTCTGGGTGGATGTCCTCAAAACTCACAAAAACGTGTAACCTGCGTGACATGTTTAGTGAAATCAAACAGATTTGTAACCTACTTGAGCAGAACAAAGCCAATTCAAATCTCAGAGTTGGACTGCTTATCTGAGTTCCCGAAGCCACATTGAAAGAATGTGAGTTCATTGAAACATTGCAGGTAACCGCAAATGGCATGGTGGGTTCTATGGGGTTGTTACATATGATCTTGTCAAGAGCCCTTAATTCACATACTGATTCCAGCAACAACAGCAAAATAAAGTTCTCACCCGCCGCCAGAAATGGTGACAAAATCAGCCATGTTGCAAGAGTTCCACACATACTGCCATAAACAAGTTTTGGAGCAGGGTAGGTGGCAAGATTTTGTCACGTAAAGATGGAGCAGCTTTCGAGCTTGCAGCCCACCAAGCTGCTCCTCCCTTTCGAGGCTCAAAGAACAACTTTTAGCAAAGAGCAAACTCTCATTTGGGCTCTCAAGGATCTTAGAGATGAAATGGACCAAAGGGGAGACTGCTCCTAAGGGACAACAGTGACCATCTCTCAGATCCTCCACTTTTGGGAGCATCTGATGGTCAGCTACCTCAAAGGGCGCACGCGTCCGTCCGGACGTGCCACAAGACCAGATTCCACCTGATGATCAACAGTGATCTTGTCCGGCTGTTTGTCGTGTTCGGATGACACCTACGATTTTGCATGATTTTCCATATGTGGCCAGCCCAGAGCCTGGAGATATATACTGTGTATATGGGAGTTGATCGAAAACCCCGTGTAAGGAGTTTTATATAAAACGGCCTTTCAGATGTTGTTAGAACCATCCGCGAAAGATTCGCGATGAGGTTCCCGAAAGTATCTTTTTTTTTCCGCGAAAGATTTATCGAAGGTCATCGCTTTCATTGTGTTCCTTTCTACCGGACTGACAAAGAATAGAAACACAAGGCAATCCTCCGGCAGAGCCAGTGGGCGGAAGTGTCCCCATATGTCACAGACTAACGAACTGAAGCCTCAACATTTCCGTGCCGAGCCCTGGCAGTGCGTAAAGGATTCTCCGATTCCTGTCCCCACTGTCACAGGCTAGCAATCTGGGTAGGCACAGCCCTGACAGTGAGGCAACGACCTGCAGCTGCTCTGACGGGCTGCGCAGATGTTTGCAAATGTTACGGCTTCCCGGGGAAAGCGCCAGTGAAATTTCGCGAAAGATCCGCGAAAGCTTCGCGAATGTGCCGCTAAAGTCTAGGTTCCCAGCTTGAGGCCCCCCAACATTCCCCAAGCTGTATCACCGTGTGTTGGTAGCTGGCACGAGGATTGGGTTGAGTTGTGCCTGACTCTATTTGGCACAGTTGTCGAACAGATGCTGCAAGTGACCCTGAGTAGCTGTGGAAGCGTTCAACCATCTACTGTGGCCATGCTGCAAGATGTCTCTCCCTATTTTGTGATACTATGACATGTTCCGGCTCATGTTGGCTAGACATGGTTGTAGGACCATGCTTCGCGATGAGGCCGCGAAAGATCCGCGAAAGATATCTTTTTTTCCGCGATGAATGGCCATTCCAGGATGAAAGAATATTGATCAACCACCATATATGACATGAGGTGAAGCTGATTTTGTCGACGAATGTCCTTTTTGCATTGCCTGGGTCGACTCATTGCCTTGTGAGTTGCCTTGTGCACAGTCATCCCCTGATGCGTGTGGGTGGGGTGCATAAGTAAATAATGGGGTGAAATTAAGTACTGTAGTTCAGGTTGCAGGTCGGGTTGCAGGTTGGCATTTGCAGCTGCTGTATAGAGCTTGCTCCATCCGTGGTGATTATACCATTGTGGTTGAAGTACTTTACAAATTTGGAAAGATAAGTGAGGGTTCACAGGTGATCATTTGTGCACAACTTGATTGAAACCATATGTTTAACCTTTTGAAGACAGTTTCTCCAATGTTTTCCATATCGAATCTATTGACGAAAGGGTATCCGAGTATCCCATGTTTTGCCCAAATACACTGCACCAGATTTCTTGTCAACAGGCCAAAGTCTCACAAACCTTATGTTTTCCATTGAGATTTGTCAGATGCCATTAAACAAACACACTAAACTGTGAGGTCGCTACAGGCTGTTTCCATTGTGTCAGAGTCCCCAAATTGCAACACCTGTTCCTTTTATTGCTCTATTTGAGCCTCAACGTGACAAAGTGTCAAGAATCCAAACGATTCCTTCGGAATCCCTTTTTTTCCATCATCTCCAATGAGTGCCCCTTGACTCATCACTGACTCAAGGAACTCCGTTTGTTGAACACCGTGTTCACGGTTTTCCACCAGCTCCGACATCCCTCCCCCCCCTCTGGTCATCCTCTGGTCATCCAAAAAGGAGACCATCGCGGTGAACCTGTGGGGCTTAGAGGTGCTCCAGCTTCAAACCACACGCCGTGCACGACTGTTTTGGTTCCCGCGAAACCACGGCCGTGGGTTTCTTCCGGGAGGCTTTTCGGATGGTTTCCGGGTTCCGTGTGTGTTGGTTTATTTGGACCAAAAGATCCCGGACCACTCTGAGGATGTGTGTCTTTTCTGTTTTTCCGTTTTGCCTTTTTTCGAACTGGAAGATGGAGCGATCGGTTGGGATGATTTCTTCAGGTGATTGAGCAGTGTTTGAGGGGTCCATGGAACTGTTAAATCTTTCCATGGTCTGGGACCCTGGGATGAGGATTTCAGTGATTTCGTCAAGGAAGGGTGGTTCCGCGGCGGAAGAAAGCGGCACACCCGCAGACGGCTTTGTGGTGCGAAACGTGTGATGCAACGGAAGGGGTGCGCGACCAGATGAGCCTCCCTTGGAACAATGGATGACCCCCACCGCATTGGAGTTTGGGAGCGCCATGAGTTGGCTGATGGACCCGAATCTCAGATGTGCTTTGAGTCCGGCTGACTGAGTCTCTGAGTGGTTTGCAAGAAGAGCATCATATTGGATATGAGTTGCACCTGGCCCCTCGTCCTTCGCCATCACAACACTACACTTCTTCTCTTCACTTCTGGAACCGTGAAATCGACCCTGGTTTTTCTCTCTTCCGTCCACCCCCGTTTTTGCCCTATATACAGTAGTTAGCTGGGGGCTGGGGGCTCGGGGTGGGGCAGCACCCACCTCTTGTGGGGTGATGAGAATTCCTCCTCCCCGCCACCCGCGCGAGGCCATCAAGACCCGTGGTGAGTCAGTGGCCGTGGCCTTGGGCCTCATCGGCGCCCGGCCGGTCTGCGAGGCGACCGGCCGGGTGGCGCGCTATGTGGCTCGGCGACAAGCGCGCGTTTGTCCGGGTCGATCTGATGGGATGGGGAGATGCATGGAGGATCATGGGTTTGGCGTGATGTTGATTGGTCGTTTATATCGAAAGTTCAATGATGTTCAATGTACACGGAAATTCAATGGACATCTTTGACATCTTCTCATGTGTCTTTTTCTTTCCTCTCATTTCTCCGCGAAGCTCCCCATTTGGACGACCACCTTTGTCAGACCGTCCTGAGGAGCTGATTCCACTGCAGGAGCTGGGCCGCCCCCCGCGTGGACGCCTTGTGCTCCCTGAGCCTCTTGGCACATTCCCAAAAAGGTGTGTTTTTCTGGAGCGATCCCTTCAACAAGTGCACAAGAATAATAAGAGAACAAGAGCTGCCACCACCATGGCGGCCATCAAGAACAACAACTGCAGCAGCAACAACAGCAATCATATATGACAATATAGAAGCACACTATATAATGTTGAGATCATTATAACAATAAGCATCATCCCATCATCCCATCATCCCATCATCATCATCATCATCATCATCATCAGCAGCAGCAGCAGCAGCAGCACCAGCAACAGCAACAGCAACAGCAACAACATCAACAACATCAACAACATCAACATCATCATCATCATCATCATCATAATCACAATCGTCAATCAGAGGACATCATCCGAATCAGATTTATCAACATGTGTCTATCTTCCACCTGAAGATCTTGTGACACCTTCTTGCATTTGTAGTTCCAAAAGTGTCCTGAACCACCTCAGTTGCTGTTTCTGCCACATTCTTTCATCACTGGCTCCGCACCTGAAGGACCTGCCATCACCTGCCATTACCTGACCCCACTCGCCGTCCGTGAACGAAGCTTCACGTACGTACCACGGTACCAAGGCGGCATTTTCCGCGATAGTTTCGCCAACATCGTGGAGCTGCTGGACGATGCCCTGGCGCGCGCCGCGCAGAGCGCAGACGAGCCGGTGGAGCAGAACTTTGTGCGGAAGCACTACCTGGAGATCCCATGGGCGAGGGATGGTGAGGTGGTGGGGAAATACCAGGGCCCCTTGATAGGAGTGGAGTGGAGTGGGTCATATACATATATATATATATATGAATGTCTTATTGGTTGGAACTTTAGACGATGATTTTGAGGGGCATCCATTCACCATCTCTTGCGCTTCTTGGTGACTGATTTATTCTAATGGTTTTGGTTTTGATAACGGATAACTATGTTGCGTTTCAACCCGCTATAGACTGGGCAAGTGTGTTTTTATTCTTCTCAATTAGGGTTGATATGTGATAACTGACAGACTATATCGGAATTTGAGAGGCGGGCAATGAAAATCCAACCTCTGAGCATTGTGGCTGTGGAGGGTGAAGGAAGGGTTGAAAGGTGAAATTCCCCTGTTAGAAGGCGACTTCTTTCATCCTGGAACAGCTTCCAGCCTTTTTTTTGGCAAAGAATGGGGGGAAACAAGGAGCTCCTGGAAGAAGAGGAAGATGAGGAGGCTGCCCTCTCGCGCCCCTTGGCTGAAAGTTAGAGCGGGAATGCCATGCTTAGAGTGGAAGTGTTGGAGGAAGAAAGAGGCCGTGAAGCACGAGCAGCGGCTTGAAAGGCGCTGAAAGGTCATCACCGAATCAAAGAACAATCCCGGCTGCCAAGTTTCAGAAGTTCGTTTGTGGTTCCACATCCGATCTTGGCATTTATGGGGTTGAGTGAGCTACAGTTGAACCCCCCCTGAGCGACCCAATCCCCATCAATCCCCTAAACGAAGGCGGGCTGACTGAAAACAACGAACACAAGAGTGTAATAGATGGGGCCGGCAGCTAGACCAATACCCGCAACAAATCATGTGTTTCTGCCTTCGTTGTCCCACCCCCAACAAGCATGTTTTAACTGTTCTGATACCTGTTTGTATAAAAAACAAAAAGGTTGAACAGATCATAATCACATACTCTGCACATGTCAGGCAGAAGGGCGCTGACTCTCTCCTGAACCTCCGAAGAAAGTGCCGCTTCGCAACTGGGTGTCCCAGGCATTTTCTCGAATGCTGCCGGGGAGTTTGGCTCTTTGGTGCCGCTTGGAGACTGCCAGTGCCGAGAGACACCGAGGGTCGGTTTCGGATTAAGCGGCGCCAAGGTGGCCAAGGTGGCCATGTTAAGAATGTTGAGAGTCGGTGATTGGGCTGTGAGCCAATTGTTTTGTCAAGCTGTGAGCAGGCTTGTTTCCTGCTTTCCCTACAAAACTGAATCCTAACCTTCCAAACCACCTTTCCCCAAAGGATGGTGCAGCTGAGCTCTCCAAGAAGGGCTGTGACGCTCCGAGACCCTTCGCCCGAGGAATGAACGCGTGGTGGCTGGCACCTGGGAGCGAGACGAGGACGGATGTGACGGGACGATCCCGGGGGTCCGAAGTGGCAGGTGTTCCCCCCATGGTCGCCCCCTGCATTTCTTTTCATTCACCGCCTTGTGCTCATGTCAAGAACAGCGGTAATGACTGCGCTAGGAAAGTGTTCGTGGTCACCCCCCTCTTCTGATTGATCTGCAGCAGAGTTCTCCGGCAGGGTGGTCGACGTGGTGAGATCTTTGGCAGTTTGATGGGAGAATCTTCCGCAAGAAGCATCCTCACCCAAATACCAGCATTTCCCCCCAAGCTGACAAGCAGCTTTTGAAGTTTCCGAGGCCAGACTTCTCCAAAAGAGTGGGATGACCATATATGACATATACATCATCTTCAATCCCTTGGACATCCGGATTCCACGCACTCCGTCCAGACGCTCCATGGACACGGACCACACGTCCGGTGGGACGGTCAGAGTCACCGCAGGAGCTGGGTGAGACCTGGGCCTCGCGGAACGCCTTCGCCTTCGGACGCCAGCAGAAGGGTGTGCCACGCGCCAAGGCCACGGAGCTTGGGTTTTGGGGCTCGGTGGGGTGGAGCGGACTGGTTGATGTGGTTGTTTGTGGGTGATAAGTGAATATGCCTCGAGAACGGAGCTAAAAGATGGCAAGTATGAGGAACTTACAGAGTGGAAAGAAAGAATGAAGGGTTTTCTAGATGGCCATGCATCGCATCCAACAGTCATTGCTCAGTGTAGCATGGGCTCTTGAAGTCCTGAAAAGCAGTTATTCTCGACAGGATCAGGACCATTCTACTTTTGGCGGAGAATCTACTGTACCGTCTACATGCAAGCGTCAAGCTTTTCAAAGTCTTGCCTTGCTCTATCAGACCGGCTCTTGAACACCAAAAGACCAAACGACCACAATTCGAGAACCCCTCGGTGTTCCACTTCAGCTCTTAGCCGTCTTAAAGACTTAGCCTTCACCCCCGTGCTCGACTCGGCGACACCCACTTCCTCCACTCGCCGCACGTCCCAGTTCTCGGGGCTGCTCCGGTCGTCACGGTGAGTGTGACGCGAAACAGGGAGATCCTCAGCAACGACCCGAAAATTCGAAGAATGAACATGTCGACATGGTGAATCACCCAAACCCAGCCCCAAACTCCATTGGTTGGGTGTCTCCCTGTTTTCGCATGGACACCCAATAGCTTGACTTGCGAATCCGTCCCTTCACCACAGCTCATGTTGAGCAGTGGACGACACCCAACCAATCCATGTGTTGTTTTCCAACCAGGTCTTGGATAAGTTGATGTCCACGAGTGGCTCCTTGGTGCAGCTCACCGACAGCGTGGAATACGGCTTGACCGATATCCAGGCGCGGCAGGGCCATGCGCGGCAGGGCCATGCACGGCCTGAGTCCACCAGTTTCAAATGGAATACACCGATATAGACCATCTAGAGAAGCATATGGAAGAGGAGCAGGAGTATTCCAGTATTCCACTGGCATAGATAGACATCAGTTGACAATCAGTTTATTGTTAGTTTGGTTCATGGATTTCAGAGGGGGCTTGCGGTCGACCATAATAAGTGTTGTTGCATATTATTTGGCTTTGAGCAGGGAGCTAAGTAGCTGATCGCGTTAGAATGCTGTTGCCGCAAGTTGTACACGTGTTTGTCTGTGGGCACTGCAAGTTCTCTTGTCGAGGAGAGTCTAAAGTCATCTAAAGTCTATGTCTTTAGACCATTTTATTTTATGTGATGTATTCGTGGCGCATGAGTGAAGGAAATGGCGACGCATTTCTGAAAGAACTGGTTGGAGCCCGGTTCCACCGCTTGCTTAGTCAGACCTGCAGTTGGTTTTCTTGGTTGGTCCATGCATGCCCAGATGAAGTGTGTAGCAGCGTAGAGCGAGGATGATGGAGTATAGATGACCACATAGTTCCCAGATCCCTGTGACCATTTTTGTACCCTGGTAGAAGGGAAAGGTGAGTGAGCCATCTGACAACAACAGAATTAACGCCTGCATTATGTTTTCACTGACATTGTTTTCAAGGATATGCCTGAAGCGCTTGCAGCTTGCATTCACTTCACTTCAAACCTCCGATGTCACGCCGTTCGTTGATGGGTTTTTCCCTCTTGGTCCACTGACTTCCTTTTGAAGGCCCAGATGAAACAGCCGTTTGATCGGTTCAATCGCATTTCCCACAGCTCGGCGAAGCGACGTCGCCGCGCGCGCGCGCGCAGTCCGTCGGCTGCTTCGAATCGAGGAGTACTACGCCAACTCTGGCGCCATGGTCCGGCGTATGAGCCACCTGGGCAGAAGAGGGAATGGCAGCGCTGGGAGAGGAGACAGGATGAGCGTGGGAGGAGGTGAGAGATGGGCGAATCTTTTCTGAAGACCGTCGGAATCTGTTGGAATCCATGGAATGGGGGAACTCGTTGGAGAGTGCGAACTAGTCTTGCAGATGAATCGGTCGTAAATCCATGGAGCTGCCCCGTGCGGAACACGGACTGACTGAGCCGACTCCAGCGATGGGGGAGGATCTAAAGATCCTGAGACAGACGTATGTGGCCCACAAAGATCCACGGTCGGTAGCCTTCAATCGGCATTTCAACTCAGTACTGGTACTGTAGACTATAGAGTAGTCCTTATAGATCCAACTCTATAGTAGTGTGTATATCATAGTTATGGTGAGTTTGAAGCTCCATTCCAGAATAGCACGGCGAAACATGGCACAAACATCACCTAACAAACCGACGCGACAAGTCTTCAGAAATGTGGATGTTCAAGTCTTTGGATTCTTAGTTCACCTTAAATCACGGTCAAACACATGTGAACCATATGAAATAGGACCATGGTCAAGCATGTGAACATGTGACTCATGTGAATCAATTTGATCGAACCATTCTAATTTCAAGCAAAACCATGCCCGGTTTCACCGATACACACCCAGCACAAAACCTGATTACAGATCCTGCCCCCTGATTGGGGTTCTCCTTGAGCAGTGGCATGCAGTGGCACTTGACCATTAGCATTTGCCAAAAGCATCTCAGCACCATGGCTGATGACTGGCCTCCATGGCACGCCTTGCAAGACGACCCGTGTGCATTCTTCCCACACTGCTCGCGCTGCTCACGCGAACTGTGCTGGGGAAACAGCGCTGGAACATCGTTGATGCGGAGGTCCTTTGCGACTGGAGGTCAATTATTTGGGATGTCCGGCATTCAGGATTTCCAATGCTAAAATACCTTAAACCCTACCCGGAGGAAAGTGAAAGATGAAGACTTGGATGACGGTGAAGCTTAGTTCTTGAGAGGGCACAGAGAGAGCAATGGCTATGATTCTTGGTGTCCGGGGTTGAACTTTGGTGAGATTTCACATCATGTTGGAAGTAGATGAAGTAATAAGCAAAAGAAAGCACTCCCAGGTGCAGTCGCGGAGTATATATCTGGTTTGAGCAGTCGCTTCTGTGGAATGGGTTTTATCATGATTGATCAACGTAACTACCAGGACCACCGCCCGTTATGGGTGTGGTGCGAAATGACCATTCTGATCATCAAAATGATTCGGTTGGGGAAGTTTCGTTCAGCGTGTTCAAGGATTGAGTGGCGTAATTACATTGGGGAACAATTCTCCTGTGCACTTCCCAGTAGAATTGACACTTCAACAGTCAATTCGAGATATGCAAGTTGCCCAAAACTATCGAGGATGTAATCCATTGTTTGCCAGACAAGCTCCTCTTCAATCTCCTTACGTGCATCAGCTACACTTCCCTCATGCATCGTAGACAACGGCGTCTTCAAAATACATAGAACGCGAAGATCATCCGTCTTTTATTTTTACAACAGACGACTTTAGATACCGCGCGTTATTACCCCCCATACAGACCGTGGCGCACTGATTATATTCTTTTAGCGTGCACCAATTACACTGTCTTCATTCATCGTAGACAACGATGTTTTGGAGTTACGTAGGCATGATGCGAAGATCATCCATCTTCTAACAACAGAAGATATTATATAGATGCCCACCGTTATGAGCCTACCAATTACGTCGCTGAAATTGCTGTGAAGCCAATGACAATGTCCAGAAAAGGCACATAACACCACGGCCCGTTGTGGGCAGTGTTCCAACTACCAAGCTCAAAGATCCTAAAGGACTCAAACGAAACAACAATTCTGATCCTTTTCCCAGGAGTCTATAAGCACCTGTTTAGGCTCATGGCACCGCTTCCCATAAATTTTGAGACTCCACATTAACGCTACTGTATATTGCTCGTCGCAGTGAGGCGAGTGTGACTGGAAGAATAACTTCTGGCTCCACATCGCGGATGACGTCCAGCAGATCTTTTCCGAAAAGACGGATGCTCGGTCCCGACCTTTTTTCCGAGTGCGGCGATGAAACGGTACAGCGAGGCAGCCAGGCACCATGCCGATCCGTGCTCGCCCGGCTCCTGAAAAAAGGACGCCCATCTGAGGGGGTTGTTGCTGCAACTGCTGGGTTTGGGGATTTCACCGTTTTGAAGAAGCAAGATGTGTGGCTCAGAGAATCTGTATCATCATGTGGCTCACATGCAGTATATGTCAACATGCAACATCCCAAACCAATGGGCGTTCCACTTCTCCCAAGTACCAAGCAAGACTCTACAGCACTGACCGCGCTCACGGACGGCGGAAGCGCCACCGAGGATTATGTCCTGGTCCGCAGCCAGAAGGAGAATCGGAGCCGGCAGAAACAGCCAGGTGTGGCCGCAGCGAAATCCGTCGCAGGAGTCAAATCCAGAAGTGTTTTGGTGGGGGGTGTCCACAACTGAAGTATGTCAGCTACCTTTGTAAATGGATACCTATTATATCCTGTTATTGATTTTATACTAGAACTGTACTTGGAACCGTGATCCATGTATGGTAGAATCGTGAAGCTTGCCTCATCTTTGATTCGAACCATACCCTCTTAATTAGCTTTGGGTGTGCAACTCCATATCCTCCTTCCACTACTTCAGGCGCTAAACCCCTGATGTCTCCACCCACTCTCCGTGAGGCTGGCAGCGCTTGCGCCGCGCCGCTCGGGAGCTTTGCCCCCTCGATGCCTCGCGCTGGCCGCCGCCGGCCTCGGCCGCCGTGGCGCCGCGCTGGCGCTTCGACGTCGGCTGGGTGGGCGAAGCGTCGGCTTCGACCGCGAGCGGTCGTGCGGCGAGCGCGACGGCGCGGACCTTTTGGCCCAAGGAGCTGAGCCGGGGGGAGCTGGGGGGGGCAGAGCTGGGAAGCGGCGAGGAAAGGAAGGGGACATATATGATCATTATATGATCGGGCGATAGACAGGGTGGCATTCCACCGACAGTCAGGTCGACATGCATATAGACACTATACACCAAGCTCAACACGAAGTTTGATCACCGGGCTGATGAGTGTATTTCTTCCACACTCATTTAAGTCAAGCAGTGAAGCTGGGCAAGTGGCCCCGCTGGACCGCTGTGCGCCAGGAGGTCTTCAGCGATCTTTGTTTACCAGGCAAACTGCGACGTTTGGAGAGTCATTTAAGATAAATGATGAGAAATGTTGACATAGAATGTGGATATAGACAGAAAGCAAACCAGCACCCTTCATCAGCGAAGCTACCTAAAGTGCTAAAGTTTGGTATTTGGAAGCTGTTGAATTAGATGGTTCTCGATATGTTCACTAGTTGTCACGGCGTTTTGCATCACAAGTTTTGTGATCCACTCGACTCCAGCCTTCTCAAGAGCATCCAACCACCTCCAAACCCAAACCGATCAAAGTGTAAAGACGAAGGTTCAATCAAAACCACTTGTGGACGTTTAGGTGGACACTCTCACTTCTCCAAAACCCAACAAAAACCGATCCAAAATGCCATTCCACAGATCTAGTCTGCTTGTAGTCTACTTGTGAGGCCTAGTCTTCTCAGATCTCCTTTGCATCCTCGACCTCACCTTCACCCACGAGCCCAGCCCCTCGCGGATGCTGCGGGCCGGACGCCTGGCGCGGCGGCTTCGAGCGGTGCTCCAGTGGGTGAAGCCATGCTGGAGGGAGCCATTTGCCACGCTGAGGCATCGGAAGGTCATGCCAGATATACCAGATATATGGCAGGTTTTTGGGATGGTTTTAGATGGTGGTGTGAAGTGGAAACGCGTTCATTGGCCAAATGTACCATGTTTTCTTTCACCTCCTTCCCCCCCCTGTCTGCTCTCCAAACCCCTTTCAATGGTCTTCCCCTTGGAAACCTCCGTGTTTTTGCCGTTCGACTGTGACAGGCTCAGCGACTTGGACCACTTCGCCGAGCGCTGGAGCGACGTGGAGGGCCTTTGGCCCGACGCGGTGCCACCGGAGCAGCTGCTCTTCGAGGAGCGAGCGGAAAACGCACCGGTCGACCGAGTGGAGCCGGAGACTGCTACATGGACCACATTGAGGCCTCCTTGGTTGGTCCTTTTTCTTTCTGAAGTCACATCAAGAAGGTGCAGGAGATGACCAAGTGTTTTTTTTTCGCAGAGGATAAATTCACCAATGATGTGGGAGAGGTTCATTGGGAGGGTTCGACGGTGCAGAGCGGAATTTGTGCGATCAATTACTACCCAATTGACGTGTCCTGCCTGCCCCCCCATCACAGGTCACCTGACCTCCAATCCACTACATTGTAACTGCGTTTACGATGCAGATAGAATTTATGCACCCACCCTTTTTCAACACACGACTTACAACTTGCCATGTATGACCCGCCACGCCACTTACCACTCACCAGGACATCCACCAGTCCACCAGCAATTAGCAGAGTCACTAGCCATTCCCAGCACCTGTCCCCCCATTAGAAGAAATGTATGAACAGAACCCCCCCTCCCTGTGATCTGGAGTTCGACACGGTGACGCGTGTCGCACACGTGTGTCACACCATGGTCCAGGCTGCGCGGTCATCACATGTTCATTCACCCAAGCCTTGCTTTTAGCTTTTGGCTCCTAGTAGCGATGCCCTTTGTTGCTAGTAGCTTCCTTGCTCAACTCAATGTTTATTCTCAAAGTGTAATGGCTTCAGGGCCTCAGCGTCGACTTCTCCCGTGCCTCGCTGCCGCCCACGCTGCGGCGCTGTTGGCCGGTGACCACCACCGAGCAGGGCGGCTGCTGGCCGCGGCACACGCCAGTGGCCACGGGCAGCTGCAGCATCTTAGAGGAAGCATGAGGAAGCGAAACGGATCAGATTGCTTGTGTAATTCTATGGTGTGGTGATGGGTGTCTTGAAATAGATGGGAGTCGTTCTGATTTTTTCAATCTTTAGACAACACATTTCCGTTTCATACGTGCAG